GGGACTCTCAATCTGTCAGTCAAAGAAATTGTCAAGGACACGCTGGACTTTGTAAAGGCCCAAACTGCAAGCAATTGGCTTGTCATACAGTTTGCCTCAGAGGTTAATCAGGGCCTTTGCGTGGGTCTTGTTTCCTCCTGCTCCTAGCACTGGTGTTGTCTGCCCCAGTCACCCTTCCCAGAAGATAGTCCGCCCTCATCCATCACCCGTTCTGTCATAGGATCCGTCTCTGACACCCACTCCTCCTTTCCTCCCTTCTCCTAGTCTGGCCGTGACGTATCAGCACCCGTGACATTATCCTGCCCATTTCAATGATGCATCTATCCATCTGTCTGCCTTGAAAAGTGACCTGCTCACTATGTCCCTCCACCCTTCAGTCAGACAGGAGCCTGCCTGTCTGCCTGACCGCAAGCAGGCAGAATGTGCTTGGTGGTGGAAAATACAGAGCACATGTGACTGTATGTCACCAAAGGCAATACATAAAAAGTAGCTCCTGGAGACTGTCAGAAACCAAGTTGTAAACTGGGCTGCAAGATACAGTATCATCATCCAGTTCCTATTCAGATGTTCTGCCTTTCCCAGGCAGTTGCAAACTTAGCTGTCTTGTAGGGAATAATGTTACAACGAGGTGACAGAACTCAGTGTGAAACATTAAAGGAGGGGAAGGTGATTTTATTTTAAAATAAAATGTTTTCATTCACTCAGACTCATATATGCATGTACCCTCAAGGACCAAGATGCTTATATCCCAGTGGTCTTCCCAGCATGTGGGTACCAAGACATGTGCGTCCAGGTGATCGCAGTGACTTCAGGGAAGGCTCCAGGTACTCAGTACCCATTAGACAGGTCTGGACACTTCAAACTGAGATGACTTAAAAAACGAAGTTTTGTGTCTTCAGGAACCTTGAAGTACTGGCAGTGACTTCATCATCTAACACTGCTAGGGCTAGGCCACATAGCAGTCTGACTATCATTCTTTGGTGCTCTTTACTAGGCATCTCCAGTTCTGCACTTGTCTCATCCCTGGGTCAGTGAAATAACTGGCAAAAGGAGACGCCTGTGGTTGGGTTCACAGCGGGTGCAGCTTCACAGCACAATGAATTGAGCATGTCCTAGCAAGGAACTATTTTGCTGAAGACAGCTGAGATCTTCCCACAGGAGACAGTTGCAGTTTTGATCCTAAACAGAAAGATTACTGTCTGTGATGCTTTTTAGAAAGTCAACGTTAGTGTGAAAAGCAAGGCAGTAGTTGCATCTCCTGGGATGAGCCTGGAGGAAGATTGTTGTGCTAGACAGCATTGATCAATCCACTGCATATGCTTGAGGGAGGAAATGGCACAGGAATCAAATTCAGTTCCTTGTGAAAAGTCTTGCAATATATTTTAAAAGTTAAGACAGCGGGATCACATAGATTCATTCTGGAGACTGAGGGAGCGTGGAAGGGAGCAACGTCTCAGTTTGGAAATCTCAGAACAACAGAAACTCCCAACAAAAATGGACTTTCCTCTTCAGTTTCAAAGAGTGAATACTCCTCCGTGAAATGGTACAATTTTTCCTGTCATATGCTGGGGAGTGAGAGGAGAGGGAGGTAAACCTCTCTGTACTTGGTTGTCTGCTTATCCATTGCTCAGTGTCTTTTCTGCTTGCTGCCTGCCTCTTCCCATGGCTCTGCTCCCACCGTTCCCTTCAGTCATGAACAGGGAAGGCATGTGGGGCAGATGAGTGCTATTGAGGGCAGGGACATGCAGAGGGGATAGAGAGGTCATCTGGGCCTGGAAATCAGCAGGAGAGCAGAACCACCTGTAGAAGCAGGAGGATTTAGGGAAGGCAGGGTGGGAGGGGAGGGGGAGCTGAATTTGAAGCATGATGCACCTGTTGGGTGCAGGGCTCTGCCATCACCTCTCTGCTCACACACATCAGGTGCTGGGTGAGTGCACCTGGTCAGTAAGGTCCCTGCCCTGCCACTGCTGGGGCTGCCCCTTCCATCGAGGAGCAGCCTTGTGATGGGTAGTGGGCAGTAAAGGCCTGTGTCTGTCACACATTGGGTCGCTATCACATGGGAGAACTAGTGAGGGAACTGGCTGCCACGGGGTGTTTGGGGGCAAAAAGCTCAGCTGCCTTCATGATCACAGAATCACAAAATTCTTCCTTATATCTAATCTAAATCTACCCCCCTTTAGTTTAAAGCCATTCCCCCTTGTCCTGTCACACCAGGCCCTGCTAAAAAGTTTGCTGCCATCTTTTTTATAAGCCCCCTTTAAGTACTGACAGGCTGCAATAAGGTCTCCCCGAAGCCTTCTCTTCTCCAGGCTGAACAACCCCAACTCTCTCAGCCTTTCGTCATAGGAGAGGTGTTCCATCCCCCTGATCATTTTTGTGGCCCTCCTCTGGACCCGCTCCAGCAGGTCTGTGTCTGTCTTTGCTGCTTTGGATTGAAGCAGTGTTGTAGTGCCTTACTGTAGGGCACTCTTAAGACTACATGCTGGGAGTCTGAAAACTGGCTGAGATGTGACAATTTGTACAGCTGCCTCTAGTGTCCATGTCCACTTCCTTGAGACTCCATGCTTCTTGGGCATGTGAGAAGAGCACAAAGTGGATTGTACTCTTACTCTTTCACAACAAAGGTTCAGGGTTCTCAGACTTAATGCACTAGTAGTTCATTTCTGTGTTTTATCCTCATTTGAGGTAGAAGTGAGAAGGTTTTTGTGCCCTCAGTACAACTCCTAGCAGACAATTTAACAACTGGGTTGCAAACATGAAAGGGGAGAGGGCCAGGGCTGGCTGAGCTGACAATGTTTTAGGGTAATACTCTGTGGGAGAGTAACAGAATCTGTCTATGTTGTAAATAAACCTGAATGGCTTATTTTGGCAAAGAATTTTCATTCATGACAAATGCAATTTTGAGACAACCAGTAACCACTTGCTAATTTGGGATGAAATCAGAATTGGAATCTGACATCCTCAGGTCAGATCAGGCGTAGTATTTGGTGGGTTTCCAGTAGAGTCCTCTCACATGTGTGATAGGAAATAATCTTTATGAGGGCTGTCAAAGGGAAGGGAATACCCAGGCTTACAAGTCATTGAAGTGGGTTATTGGAAAGGGATGTGTCAGAGGATTGCTAAGTGATACATAAGGTTGCACTTTGAGTTTCTGAGGTCTGGTAACTGGGACATATTTTCAAGTCTGTCAGACTGATTTTAGCACCTCCTGGGTTGTTAGTACTTCTCTGCTTTCTGAGGCAGAAGATGTTTTTGCTCTTCTACAATATTAAATGGGACCTTCTATGTTTTGCTGACTGTAAATGTGTGTAAAGGTGTTTAAATGTGATTCCTCGGGCTGAGTCACCTGCACTTTATGGCTTCGATCTGTTACAGTATAACCTCAGGAGATTGTGCTATAGCTCAAGCTCTCTCATCGGCAGGAAGGATGCTTAGCTATTGAGGGGCAAGGTAAGAAATCCTCAGTAGATTTCAGTTGGCCACTGTGATGTCAAGGGACTGAGAATCCAAACTCAAAAAACTGGTTAATCTGAAGTAAAAGAGTTAGGGAACGATAACCCCATTTGGGTTATCTGATTTCTTGGAAAGTACATGAAAGTACATAAAAGTACAGGCAGACCTGCTGTCCTCCTGCTAGTTCATCTTCATACCTCTTGCTGTGTCTTCTTACAATTCATTGCTTACCAAGGCTTAGTGCATTGGAGGTATAGTTTTAGGCAGGGGGGCAATAGGCTCATTGCCTTGTGTGTGTGTGTGTGATTACTTTCAAGTGGTTAGAAGCAAAACCTTTGAAAATGATGTTTGCTTTAGATTCTTGCCTCTCCTGTTGGATGGCACTGGACTAGGTGGTGTGATTTCAGGCCAGGTTGCATCGTTGGGGCTGTGGAGTTTGCCCACCTTTCAGCGCTTGAAGTGCTTCATGTACAGCCTATCCCACAAGCACGTTTTCGTCCTTGAAGAGGACAAGCTGCTGAACTTTATCCATCTGCTTTTTAGAAGCATTGATATGCTCATGTCTGCCCTCCCTCACCGTATTGCATGGGGTTGCCTTTGAAATTACTGAATATGACTGACATCATCACCCAAGGTGTGACTATCCCTGTGGTGAGCAACATGGGCAATGAAACACCAGAAATGTCTGCCACTTGCAGACCTGGGAAGGGGTGGGAGCAAGGAGAGCTTTGGGTGGTCCATGGGTGCCCACTACCCTCTGCAAGCTGAGGAAACTGGATCTGTAAGCCTCTTCATCCCCTGCCTTGGGCTCTTTTATTTTGGGACTCTGTCTTGTTTCTCTCAAGATTTATCTAGATCAGCTCCAGGTGGCTCTGGATAAATGTCTCCTAGCAGAGGAAGCCTTTACAGATAAGCAGAACCTAGTCTGCAGGGGCATCTGATCTCCATTTCCAGCCTGACCTAATGGTTCCTAATCCCCTGTTAATGCTTCTGAGGCGCTTTTTATTCCAAGGGGTGTGCAAAGCTATGTAAGTAACAGCGGCTGCTCTCAGTGATGTAACTGGAGTGCAGGCTCATGCTTTTCAACTGCATGCTAATGAATTCACATTAGCACTGTGAGCTGGTGCTGTGAAGTGCTCTGTCCATCCCTTATATTCATAATACTAACTCTTCAAAGAGTTATTTAAAAAGGAGTGTATTTGGAGAAGCCTCATCTTTAAATGCGCTTGGCCACTCACTTTTAACTGAAGTTCAATTTATCTGATCAGTTAGTAACCCTAGTTATTCTTGAGATTGGTTTCAAACCAATTAAACCACAGTTTCCTTTAAAACATCCAGAACCACTCAGTTGTATTAAAGTTTTTAGTGAGTCGCTGTGAAGAGGAAACACAATCTGCAGAAAAAGCACCACTCCAAGTGACTTGTGAAGTGTTGAAGAATTATATTAATCTCAGATTTGTCCAGCACCATTACATGGACTGAAATAATAATGAATAGGAGGCAGGTGCATCGGGTTCCCATAAAAAAAAAATCATCTGGATGTCTCACAGGCTAACAGCCCTGTGACAGGCTTCACCTACCAGAGGGAGAGGGCGAGAGAGAGATTAAGAGAAGGGAAGGCAGAAGGCGAGACAGAGGGAGCAGCTGAGAAGGATCCCAGGGACCCGGTACTGATCCCACAGCTGAGCACCGACTGCAGAAAGGACTCGGGTGAGCTGCAGCTTTGACAGCAGTCGGGGTAGAAGAGGACCTCTGGGGTGGCACACGCAGGTGAGTGCTGTGTACCTGTTTCAGATAAGTAGCTGTGTTTGCTGTGAGCGAGGGTGTGTTTGAGCTCCTTGTGATTACCTTCACAAGGCAGAAAAGGTGACTGATGGGGAGTGACAGACCCTGCTGGTTTCATGCCTGCAGAAAGGGGAACACTGTGACCCTTTTGTGAAACTGCAGGATTCCTGGAGCAAGTAGGGGTGAAAGGGAAGAGATGCCCTCTCTTCCACTGTGATTGTTTCTATTTTGCTTATTTCTCTATCGGATGCTGGCATAATTTTCTGGCTCTGGATGACACTTATTTTATTCCGATATTTTAATGCTGGATAAGGAGAGAGTTTGACAGAGGACAACCTTCAGAAGGAATGGGACAGCATTCCCAACAATGGGAGTCCTCTGGCACCTTTGTAGGTGCCAGAGATTAACTTGTGCAGGCACAGGTCAGGCAGGGCAGTACTAGAACAATGTTGAAAACAATGTTCAGGTGTCCCGCAAAGAAAGCGGGAAGGTGGCACATGCTGTGGCCTCTTGGGAGTTTCAGAGAGATTTTCTTACCATTTGTTTCAGTGTCAAACTTCCTGACACATTAGGGCATGAAATATTAAAATAGCTTGTCGTGTGAGGGCTGGGCTTTTTTCATCTGTTGCCACTGGCACGTTGGGGAAACAAATAAATAAATCAGAACTGGGCTATTTGTTATGTTCTCTAGTGTGAAGGTGGGCGGGAAATGAGAAAAAGCCTTATAACCTGAATCCCTTGTGGCATCTGAATAGCACAATTTTTTTTTTACTGCATGCAGTGAGCTTTATTAACCCTCTGCATGCCCAAGGGGTGGTGTATGCAAAGCGGTTTGAACACACATAGTTAATTTTAGCTGGAGAAGGAGACATTTGGCAAAGTCCAATGGCCGTGTAGGGTCAAATGAAAGCGGTGCAGGCATGCCTTACTCTCTACATTCATTAAAGCACACCATGGGTTAAAATGTTGTTTTCTTCAGTGTCTCAAGGAGGGGTGAAAAGTACTGATGGGGTGATATGCCTGGTAATATGTTGATGTTTAATCGCATCTTTGGTGAGTCTATATTAAACATCTGTGGCCCACTATTTTGTTTTTCCGAATGGAAAAGGGTAAGTAAATTCCAACACTGGCCAGCCCAGGCAGCGTGCAAGAAAGATAGTCATGAGAGCAGCTATCACAAGGGGAAAGTAGGAATGTCAGGTTCCATCTAAATCATAGATCGTGCTAGCAAATCCCTCCGGTCAGTCATGGATGCAAACAGATTTAATCAGTCCTGAACAAGGGAATAGAAGGAATTCTGTACACCGTGGGAAGGAGGGAGCCTATCTGCAGTGTGAAAGCAGAGCACCGCTGCTTCTTGAGTTTGTTACCCTGATTCTAATCTTTTCCTTATGTTGAGTTGCATCTCAGTGTGTGAAAGTCCAGCTAACTGCAGTGGGTCTAATCATGGCTCTGCGTGAACAGTGATGACAGACCTCATCTTGCTGGTGACAAAGGGGCAGACTGGCATCTTGGGTGTGGGAGGTAAAATAACCAAGGCTTTGAGCCTTAAATTTAGTCTCTTAAATTTCTTCTGGAGTGTACAACATGGAGGATCTGGTGTTGAGGGACTGCGCTGAGCATGGGCATCTTCCACTGAAATCAGAGGGAGCTGCAAGTACTCAATACTCGGTGCATCACATTTATTTAAAATCAAATATTATGGGTCCAGAAGACTCATTTGGGCACCCACATGCATGGTGTGACTATTCCTCATCTTGGTGCAGGGCATTCTCCTGGTGAAAACAAAATGCCGTTCTGTGACCCACTGGATCCGTGGCCTGATCTGACCAAAAGAATGTCCATTTACATGACCAGCAAGACCAGTACTGTCAGACTTACCTGGTACATTGGGTGGTTGTAGGGCTGCAGGTAACTGGCAGTCTTCACTGAATTTGGACCTTTATTCCATTTTCCATGCCCTTGCCCATCCTTAAATGAATGCAACTTTTTTTTTTTCTTGTATAGTGTTTATGGGGTTCTCACTGCTATCACATCAAAGTAGACTTTGAACCTGACTACTGTGCTTTGCATATCTTGACCCATTGCATATCTGTGAATATTTCTGCCCAAAATCCTCACTGACATCACCTTGACCTTCAGTGCAGTGACTGACTGGACACCCATGCTGCGGGGGAATGCTGTGGCTTGGCCAAGTGACTCAAGTATGAGACTAGCTTTTGACCTTGGTCATCTGTTCATGAACTGGAAAATTCAGTCAGCTTTTTGGACCTACCAGGTCTTGGTTTCTTCACTTCTTGCTCTGTCTGAGCCATGCAGTGGGCACCAACAGTCTATAGGAAGAGTTGTGCCAGTTGTCACCGGTCAGAATGGGTAGACTTCATACTGATATACCAAAGAAGAAGGGAATTACAGGGAAAACAGAAGATTGGAAGAGTCTCATTTCCAGATAAAATGTACTTTTTATCTGAAAATAACTGATTTCCAGTTATAACTAATATATTTCAGCAGTCCTGAAATAACTGTCCTGCAGCTGTTGCCTCTTGACACTTCTTCACTGCCCTTCATTAGGGAAATGAACTTGCTTCCAGGGAAAAATGCGCCCCCTTTGCAGTGGAAGCAGTGACCGCTGCTGAATGTACCAGGCTTCGTTACAACATTTTGCAGGTTTTCAGTGGTACGCGATAGTTTATCCACTGGCATGCAGGGGTTAACAGGACTTTTGGGTGGGTGGGTGCAAAGTAAGCTGTGAAATGGAAGAAGGTCAGTCTCTTGGAGGAGTTTGCTCTGTCACAGATGGTTTTAAGTTATCAATTAATCTGTAGGAGAGATCTCCATTCCTTCCCCACCAAGAAAACTGTAAAACCAGGGCTGGAAATAAGGCAAACCCTGTCAGGTCAGGTTCAGTGGCCCAGGCAGAATTGTGGCTCTCCTGGTACTTGCTAGACCCAACTGTTTGTCTAATTAGGAGTTATCTAATTAGGAATTCCTCAGTTGTTCAAGCAGATCCCAACAGCTAAATGCATTTTGAGACTAAATAGCATCAGCAGTGCACTTTTCAGCGGGGAACAAATCACTGGAAAGGGAGCGTACACAGGAAAGGGAACAGCAGTAAGCCTTGTGGCTCTGGATAGCTCAGGTCCTTTGGTCGGGCCAACTCTGCTAAGTGGAAGGCTCTTGCTGCAGTTGATGAGAGCTGAATTCAGGTTTCAGTAGAAGCTGCTAAATGCTTCCTCTAGGAGCATTCCCATGGCTTACATGAAGTGTTATTGTCTTTAGAGACTTGTATAGCAACTCATTTTAGTAAAGGTACTTAATGTTAAGGCTACAGCATCTGATCAACAAAGTAACATAACTGCTGCCCTGGACCAGTAAGACTAATGTCTAAGGAAGCGTCCGTGGGATGATCATTGGCCAAAACAGGTGGGGGAAGGGGCTGTGGGAAACCCACTAGGACATTACTAGAAAACAGTGTCTGCTGCTGAGTGAGAGGATTTTCCAGCAGCAGATGGAAAATCCTTGTCTTATTTTCTTGGCTTGCTAACTTTCAAATTGTTTACATTTGACTTTGGAATTACTTCTACTTTTATATCACTGCAAATGTAACAAGGGATGTAGAAATGAATGATCTTAGCCCAAACATCAGTTTGAACAATCACATTTTCCTCTATTGACACTATTTTCTTATGAACTGGGAAGGTATAAATATTGTCACCAGCAATAACTGTCAAAAAGAAAGAAGGAATGAAGAAAATTACTCCAGAATTTCATTTTCACATTTATCTTTTAAATTGTTGATTAAACTGGTGATCCCCAGCCCTGCAAAGGAGAAGTTTTTGGTATCTGGATCAGAACAGCTGACAGATCATACTGCTGCCACCAGTGTCTTTTCAACTGAAAGATCATCTTTCTAAGACTAGTGGAAATGGTGCCCTTCATGGTTCTTCTGTCTTCATCCAATCTAACATGAGTCTTAGCTCCAGGACCAAGGTTTTGCTGTATGTTCCTTTCCCTGTTACCAACAGATTTTAGAACTCTAATCTGATGGGAAACCAGAGGAAAACCTTGTTCTGGTTCTGTCAGCACTGACATCATATGAACCATGGTCACCCTGATAAAACTATTTCCATTGCCAACTTCTGGAGCCAGCCCTTCATCTCAGAGTTGAACATGAGGATTTAATATGAATATATGGCACACAGTGCAAAGGAAAAAAAGATTGTATGCTCTCAGCCAGAAGTGAATGAAAGTAGACTCCCAGACTGAGCAGGCTTTGTTGCCTGCATGTAGTGCTGCTGGGAGAAGATAACATTCAGTCCCAGACTGGCCATGTCTGTGAACATCAGGAATTAGAGGTACCTTTGCTTCCAAGTGAGCTCAGTCCATTTTAGCTTTCTGGGTAGAGGAAGGAAGGTTTACAAGTTGCAAGGGCAGACTGGAAGCAAAAGATTTTGGGGCACAATATGCTGCACTTGCACTTCTAGGGTAAACCTGTCCATGGAAATAAGTGGCCTTGTTGCTGCTCATGGGAACAGGGATCAGCCTGTGGCTGTGCTGGAAGTAAAGACTGCAAATTGAGATGTCTGTTTTGGCTATAGCAGTGAAGCTGTTCTAGGAGGAACTGGATTTCTTTCAGACCTCTCAGACTGAAAGACTCTGCTTATGAAGGCCAAGCCCAGGCATGGTTGCCCCATACACAAATGCAATAATCCACTGTTTTTACTTGTCCTCTAAGGAAATTTGAGATCTTCTAAGGGCTCACGGCTTCTGAGAACCAGTCTATTGGTGTGTCCTACAAAACTTGGATGTACAGCTTGTCCCTTCCTTGGACAAGCCATTGATCTGCACAAATGTTTGTCCTTCTTTGAGGCACAAAGTCTTGACCCAGCTTGCACTTAGAAATCCAGTGTTGCCTTGACTGATGGTCACATCTGACCAAGTTGGCCCACTGCCTTGTTTGAGGCTTGCCAAAGACACTGGGTTCAATTGCACGTCTCCTGGTGCTGTGGGAAGCATGGGTGTATAATGCACGCAGCTCAGTATAGAGACATCCTGGCTGGGCAGCTACTGAGCACAGGCTTAGCTTCCAGGAGAGTAGAGAGATGTGAGTGGGACAAGAATTTATCATTTCTTTTGCCACTTAGTGACATTTACAACGGACTAATAAGGGGTACGGTTTCTTCCATACAGATCGCTAATACCTGTGACCAAGAGACCTCTTGAACAGCTATGAAGAGCTCTGTGGTCTGAGTCAACGGACAAAGCCACTGTGGTCCTGGGAGATGCAGTATTGACTTCAAGCAGGATCATCTCAGAAGCTCAACCTGTAAGGTAGTGAGTTTGGTCATGTCACCACTGAGATTTGTGTGGAGGTGATACAGAGCTGGGAGTATGAAGTGTTACCTTCACTGTCACGGTAGACATTGCTCTGTGTTGCTGTAGGGCTGAGAATTGTTGTAAACGTTCTGGGAGGAGTGGTCTCCTATAGCGTACACCGATTTCCCTGGTAAGATGGCAGGCTGTTGAAGATCTGCCCTAACTGTCTCATGGAGCTAACATGGGACTTGTAACACAGGTACGCTATGGTTTCTAATGTTTGTTATCTTGGAGGCATTGTTTCTTGGGACAGCAAGTAGGGATATGTTGTTTTTTCTTCTGGACATTTAGTAAAACTCTGTTGTATTTGCTCTGCGATATTTGCTGTAAATTTATTGACAGTATGAAAATGTGTGTCTATGTTATGAAAGAATTTATGAAAGAAGTTATGAAAGATGTTGTAGACATCGAAAGGAACAGACTGACCTGTTCTCGTGCTGTCACCCCATACCTACTTCACCAAACTGACGTGAATTCACTGTCTCGTTCACTGCTGTTAGGGCTTAATTGCTTTCATTCACTTAGAAAATATAGATGGTGTGTGTCTCCTTTTGGCATTTTGTGTCCATGCCACTTTAAAAAATAAATAGCTATAGAGTATCTGATGTATGCATACGTAAATTGTGGACAGCATGAGCAATCACTTATGTTATATTCATAATCCCTGAGGCAGAAGAGAAGATCAAGTCAAGTATAGATTTACCGAAGGGATAAGTCACACAAAACCTGATCCTTGGGCATTCCTCCCTGCTCTACACAAGACCTCCATTCATCGCTGGAGTGCTTGTGATGTTCCCCCTCTGTGACCTGCTCAGGAGTTTTCATGGAGTTGCACATCTGCAGTTGCTGGCCTTCAGTTCTGTGGTTCTAACCAAAGTCTTTGAGATTTTCCTTTAAAAATCTTCTGAAATGGGAAGACTCAAGCTCAAAACATTACTTAAAGTTAACAAATAAACAAAGAAAGCCTACCCAAAGCTAAAAGAGAAATTTTAGGTGAGAGATCCTTCTTCTCAGTGAGTATCTGGGTCCTCTGGTGTAAAGCACAGCTAGAATTTGAGACTGAGCACACAACAATTTGGTATTTTATTTAGAACATTTGCTGTGTTAGGACTGTCCTGATTTTTATGAATTACAAAGAGAAATAGAATGCTGCATATGTTGCTGATTAATTTATTATAATGATGATTCACACCTTCTACTGTTGTCTATGCTAATGGCTTTGTACTGCACATTTACTGTGCTTGTGTCAATGTCTGTGGTTCTTCCCATTCCTCTGGACCCATCACCTCTGTATGAACCACTCACTGCCTGTCACTTCTCTACAAGTTTGGCTAATTTTGCTCACCAGTCTCTGCCAGCAATTATGTCACATCTTGTCTGTGTGTTCCACTGTCTGAACCTCATAAATAACTACTTGTGACACCACTAGTACCTCCAAATCCTGTGACTCCCAAATGTTTTGCTTATTCACTTAGCTGATTTATGGCCCTATTGCTTGTGTCTAGTCAGACTGCAAAAGGGAATGGGCTCTTGCTCTGTCTCATCCAGACAGATTGATGGATAGACAAGAGGGAGGGCAGACCTCCCATCCCGTCAGGCTATCTGGTTTATTTTGGTAGATTAAAAATATTGTCAGTAGTCAAGGGCTTGCTCCTGCTCTGCATTCAAAGCCGTGGAAGCTTTGCCCCTGTCTCCAAAGGGGATGTCTCTGCAGCTGAAAAGCAGACAGTCTTCTGCCTGGGATGAGAAACAGCCAAGTCTTGGTTACCTGAACAAGGCTAATGCATGATAATGATGCGTTTTCCAGAGGAGTGAGAGTGTTGAGCTACTTCCAGTGTTAGCCCTGTTGTGCTGGGGATGTTGGTCAACAGCATTTCACCTAGGGAGGGGTAGATTGCCTTTTGGAAATATTGGTCTGCCTCCATTGTAGAAATAGCAATCTCGGTGATCATCTTAGTGTGGACACCTATGTTTCAAGCATCTGTGAGTGAAGATATGAATTACACTATGACAATTTTTGGAAGGCTTTTGCTGTCTTTTATTTCTTTTAAAAATTCTGTGATTTCTTTTTCTAGGATTGAACTGAAGTCAAAGCACAAACAAGAGAGTAGAAATTTTAAAAGTAAGCAGGGCAGGGTCTGAATGGTTCTGTGCCAGCTGATATGTTATTTTCTGGTCCTCATTTAACACAGAAGACACTAGAAAATGCGATGCGGTTGGATTAATTACACTGAAGGAATGTTCTCTTGCATGTCCTGGCACCGTTATTTTAACTGGGCAATCAATGTGTGGCATTAACATGCTCCTGTCTCACTCTCCAGAAGGCAAGAATTCACAGGAGTTTAAGGACTCAGAGCAGCTTATCTTTAATCCAAGTGAATTTCTGAAATGTTTAAGGCCCTGTAAACTCAGCAGTTTACGCATAGTGTACATAGTGCATATTGTACATTGAGAGGATGCATACATGGTGCCTATTACTACCCATACAAATATTGCCAGTGTTTGGTTTTTTTCAAACTAGATTTGAATGTAGCCATCTCTCAATAGGTTATAATTATGTTTACATATACCCACAGTCACAGCAGACTGGGAACAACTGTCTGACATGATGCATATGATGATGCATAAGAAAACAGTAAGTTTCTTGATGGCTTTGGGCCTGAGAATTTGGACCATGTTCATGTTTCAGTGTAGATGGTCGTCAATATTGCCCAGTGTGGAGGGAAGAAGTTGGGAGTAGCAAAGAATAAATGTGAGTGTAACATAAAGAGAGCTTAGGGGAATACTGTTGCAAGCTAATGTCAAGTAATCATGTTTGTTGAAAGTTGTAAGCGTTAGACATTTCAGGTCCAGGAGTGGTGACATGTTTAGGAAGATACAAGACTGCAAAAGGCAATAGGGGATTATAATGTTTGCTATTAATACAGTTCAGTACTTTGGAGGACAAATTAAGTCCATCAGAAGAGGGTGATCAAGAGTCTCTGAAAATCTCTTGCCATTTGCCCTGCCCGGTGCAGGGCAGGGTGCCCTGGAATCATCTTACTTTCATTTCAGTTTTGTTTTTTTCCCCTCCCACAAGCTGTTCATTCCCTTCATTTGCAATTTTTAAAACAACTGCCAATGGTTTACAGAAGTAACTGTGATATGCCAAAATATCAACACACAAAAGCTGGAACACTGAAATCTAAACCTCTTGTTTTGGTGGATAGCAACAAAAGTCACCCACACCAGACCGGGGAGGTGATAGAAGGAGAGGACTTGGCTGTCGTTCACACAGTCCCATGTATCATTTCCCATTTCTGTTGTTTCACGTGCATTTCCACTGAAGTCAGTGAGGATCACAGAATGATTTTCCACATAATCAATTATTTATGAGACTTCTATAGTGCGCAGAGCCCTAAAATAAGATTTGTGTTAAGGACAACAGTGGAGCCAGTCATTTGTTGTGGAGTCATGTCTATGTTCCTATTTGCAACTGCTGATTAATGGAAAAATAAAGTTTATGCTTTTGGTTCAGAATCTGACCCAGAAGTACTGTGAGGTACACTTTCTTTGGCCTGTCTATGGGATATACAGCACAAATGATTTTTGTTAGCTTAACTGTCTTTTACCCTTAGCTGAAACCAAGTGTCACACAGATAGTGCAACTCCAAGCTAAATGTATAACAAGGAGATGTTGGGGTCCTACCCAGAGTTTTCATCAGGTGTAGTGTGGCAATGCTAGGTTGGATGAATGTCTGATATAGGGAACAGGATGAAGATCATAGGTGTGCTGACAAAGTCCATCTGCATTTTAAAACTGTTAAAAGTTGCATGTTCTTGTGTGACTCTCTGTTGACTGAAGGAGTGCAGAGGGTAAATAGAGACACAGCATTAATCCCACATGGGAATCTAATCTAATTGCTCTTTCAGAGCTTCAGTAACTCTATAGTTTCTGAGCATCTCTCATATGACAAGGAATCTGCCTTCACAGTTTGCTTGCAAGATAGTGACGTGTTACATTACACATTGTCCAATTTCCTTTGGCAGAAGGTCACATGAGTGATCTATAACAATAACTAGTTAATGCCAAGTTCACACTTCATCATTTCCTTCTAAAGTAAGTAGTAGCTTATAGTCTGCTCTCAGGTCTGTTGCTAATTTAGACAAGCTAATTTAGATCAGGATGAGCTTCTGCTTCATGCCCCAGTTTAGACATCCATCTCTGTGGCTTTCTTCTCAGCAACTGTTCTTGCCATCCATCAGAACTCACCGCGTGAGTGCCATGTGGTGTAATATTTGCCTGAAACACGAGAGGAGGTTTTTGGAGGAAAGCCAGATGACATGGAAATGGAAGAGGTGACGGAGGGATGCTGTGAGATGTGTACATTTTCCATTTAGCCCTGCTAGCCATTTTCATACCTGGTTTGTGTTGGTTCAAAACTGTCATGATACGTTTTGGAAAGACATGTCATGATGTGTTGATTGGCAGGCCTTTCTCAACTTGTCTGCTGGGATGTGGCAAGTGAGGAAGGGCAAACTGCGTCATACAAGTGAGCAGTATTAAGGTCTGTCATTTCCCTTGTGAACTATAAATAATTAAATTATTTGTCTTTTTCACAGGAGAACCTGTAGTCTGTTTGTGCTGACCATAGGCAGCTGAGAAAAGCATCATGACAAGCCATCAGGCAGGTGAGAGAGCAGACACAGCTATGAAAACTATCTGGCGTACCCCTGAGAATAAGCCCAACTTGTTTTTCTTGTTTGGTAGTTAGGTATCTGTCTCTCACCACCACAAGGAGACACACCAGACACTGGCCCATCAGGTTCTGCTGACCTTTGCAATAGTGTCTTTCTCATGCCAGATTTTGAAGTTTTATTTTGAACAATAACTGATGTAAAAGCATTCTCTATCCAAATCATCGCTAGACCTGTAAGCTGACGTGGCCCTGGGTTGCGATCTTGATTGCAGATTTTCCCACTTGGGCCCTAGCTTTGCAATAGGTCAGCACAAAACCACAGACCTTAATGCCCCAGCCTTTGGACACACTTACAGCCTGTAGTACTAGAATGGATCGGTCCTTTATAGTCCAAGAGAAGCTGAGCAGGAACAATTACTGTTCTACAGAGAGGCAATGCAGATTGAGAGATTGTTTCTAAAGGACAAACATGTTGTCTTAATGGAATGTATTTTTCCTTGTCTTTCTAGTAAAATCCTTCAAGAAATCTTCTGTCCCAGGAGTTGTCATCACCCAGTTTGTGGATGATATTCCAAAAGGATGCAGTACACCTGACTTTGAGCGGAAACCTGTCACTCTGACATTGCAGGAAGGTGAGATTCTTGAAAAACAGTCAAAGCCACAGACCTGGAGGCTTGACTCCATGTCTCACCTACATGAAACAATTATCAGAATTAAATCAAGCTAGTTTCTAAAGAGATTTGACTAGACCAGAAAAAGTGTTCTGTGGCCAAAGTCTTTGTTGTACTGATGAAAATTCCATCAGTACTGATAGAGGTCTCCTGAGTTTTCACTAGTGTATGCAAGATCAAAATCTGGCTCCTAATGTATACAACAAATCCTGTGAATTCTGCAGGAGGCTCTCAAAGTAAGTATTTCGCAGCAAAAGATTAAGCACATTGAAAAAGTTGTCTTTTCCTGTTGAACTAACTTGTATTATGAATATTCAGCACTAAAATTAACTGCTTTTTTGAAGTAAGATATACTGACTGCAGATGCTATTTAGGCTGTGCTTCCCCTTCAAGAAGCAATATGGATCTTGCAGAGTACAGAGAAGGCAGCTAATGAGCCGAGACCTAAAATCAATGGGAAGCCTAACAGTAAGGTCTCTGCACTTGCAGACAGTCGTATGTATATTTTTTTTCTGGAGTGGGATAACCTGAGGAGATCATGTAGCTCCTCTTCCCTCACAAGACTGAACCGTTTCTAGCACCCTGGATTTCAGTGTTGTCACACCCATCTGTTGATTTTCACGAGCCATTGAGATTTTACGAAGGAGCACAGTGGCCTCTAGTGGTGCATCCCTCCTCCTCCTCCACCTTCCTTCCACCTGCAAGTTTCAGGCGTGAACCAAGGCGGTGGTCAGTCACCCTGTCTAAATTTTCCAAGTTATTTCATTTCCAATATGTTCCTCGTAGTTCATATACAAAATGTTAGGGCATTCAGGCTGGTCACTGTGTAAACTGAAATCAGTGTCTGTGCAGATGCACGATGAGTGTCTTTAATTATATCATCCCATTGCATTCAGTGCATGGATTAGCTGATACTCCTAGCTGTGGAGCTGTGTCCTGTGACAGATGGCAAACATGGGAAATGGCAGCCAGAATGGCCAAAATTTGACAAAGGAATAATCAACTGGAAATAGACTTTAATAATAGATAGTACTGCAATCTCAGAAAAAGTTGGAAGATGCCTTTTGATAAGAATCTGTTGGCAGGAGCTTGCTGCACCAAGTAATTTTTTTGGTGGTGACTGCAGAAGGGCGTGGGAAATACTGCAAGACTTTCTGGGGAGAATTTTTAACAGTGTTGGTCACCTGAAGACCAAAACTATTGCAAAAGAAAGATAGTAATCATTTCCGCCCTGAGCTACATCCATGGATAACTCATCTCCATTTCTATTTCCCTGTGACACTCCCACTTACCTACACGAGTCACTTCTCTGATGTGTTGTTTCATCATGACTTTGAGGCTTTTTGGAAGAAAAAGGAAAGGTTTGTACTAGGCAGTGGTAAAGCTGTTGGAGATTTCTGTGGGCAGCTGCAGTATACTCAGGTTCTTAGGGGAGAAGAGATGAAGGACAAAGCTCACAGGTAAACCCCATCCTCTTCTCCCTTCCTTGCCTCTTTGAATAGCAGAGCCTGGTGTGTTTGGAGTGCAAGGTGGTGCCAGGCTAGCAGACAAGGAAGATATTGCAGAAAGATGACATGTAGGGAGTACATGGGGAAACACCCTACCCTGCATGGGTCCTCCCAGTTGTGGTACAGTGTTGTCTGTTAAGAATGTGTTTTCTTAAGTGTGCAGAGGGGGTATCTTCTTGTTTCCACCTCCTAAGGAATCCAAATTTATCCAAATGAAAAAGAGAACAGGAGCTGCAACTATTCACAGACGAACTTTACTGATGTCTAGAGACAGGAGACTCCAACACAGTGAGTCCCATGTTATTTAACGTCCTGCCCAGCATGGTCGCAACAAAGGGAAGAGCCTGAAAGAATGGAGACGCAATGGGAACTCATAGGGGAATTTGTATGTGATGAGAATGGATTTGGGCATTTCATGTTGCCAGAAGCAAGTCTAGGATGAACTTGCTATAGCACCATTTATTTCAGAGATGATCGGAGATGTTAGCAGTCATGTCTGGCAGGCTAGCACCACATTTTAAAGGCCTTTTATGATTGAATACAGACAAACCCTGACATTAGTGGCATGGGGAAAGGTAGCCCAGCCTGGACTTGAGCTAATAACTGCTTGCTCTTTGGCCCTGCCCAAATATTGAGGGAGTTCAAAATCAGACCAAGATGCCAAAAAATTGCTCTCTTGGGTATGTAATTTCTCTATCCGCATGGCTGTGCAATAAAAACACAGGCAGAGACCAAATGTGTCAGTGGTGAATTTTGAAGTTAGTTTTCAGGTAATCTCTTTGAAAGCCACTGAGCTAGAGTGGAGATTATGGCAAATGTCTTGCATGAATTTGGGCATTTAATGCAACTTAAACTGGTAATTTAGGCATCTTTTACAGAGAAAACAAAAAGATATCATTATTTTCAAAGAATGTTTCTGCCTAAAACAACAGAGGTGGCTCACTCTGGGGATCACTCTATTGATAACATAAGGGGCCTGGCATGAGAGTCCTCATGTTCAAGCCTGTCTTAAAGAACTAATTTCTTGCCTCTTTTCAAAGGTAAAAATGCCATTTTCAGAGCTGTGGTCAAAGGTGTCCCAACCCCTGACGTGAAATGGACACGTGTACAAGGAGGAATGGATGATCCTGCCAAATACGAAACATTCTTCAATAATGTTACAAATGAATTCATTCTGCAGGTAAAGATCAAATATTTCAGAGAGGACTCATGGAACAGAGAGGGCGGTGGAAAGGAAAAACCTGCAGTGGGCTGACCTAGATGTCACCAGATCTGAGATAACGCAAAGATAAGCAAACAAAGCTTTTTAGAGTCATTCTGGGAACAGAAGAAAGATCTGAGATACCATTGAGTAGCTGTTTTATTAGACGCTGAAGGTGTGTGAGCTGAACCACAGCACATCGCTGTGAGCTCTTATTATGTTCTTCTTTTTAAGATAAACAGGCTCACTACACATGACAGTGATCTGTATCGTTGCTTTGCTGTGAATGAATATGGGGAAGCTGCATGCTCTGCTGGCCTCAGGATCATACAAGGTAGGACTGACAGGTTGTGTGCTCCGAAGGTCCTGGGGTCCCAAGTAGCTGGCTTTGCTGTCCTCTGGGGGTGGGTGCCTAGAGCATTATCTAAGTATTCTTGGTGTGAATGTCTAGTTTTCCACTCACTGAGGACTGGAGGTCTTCCATGACTCCCCCCACTTTGGTGGTTCCATGACAGTCTGAGCTTTAAGGCAAGGGAGAAGAAAGTGGTATTGTGGTCACTGCACTGGACCATAATCAGAAGCTCTGGATTTAGTGTTGAATTGGCTCAATCCTTTCTTCATTATGTTGGATGAATCAGTCTTTTGGGAGAGATTCATCTCACTTCACTTCAGATGTCTATGGTGTCCACCTGACTGAGTCCCCTGGTTCCCTTTATAGTCAGTGGAGAGAAATGGGCACTTGGTGGGTAAAATATAACTGACCTATTCTTGGAATCTACTTGAGCAGGAAGTGGATGATATTGGAAGCATCCATTTCACCTGTGTGCCTGTAAAGTAAGCTTAGAAGGCGACTATCTGCATTTGGCCAGATAATCGTTGCACCTTGGCTCCCCATCTCTAAAACAAGATGTTAATATTTCCTACCATTGCTTAAACCGTAAGCTTCATAGGGCAGAAACGGTCTCCTCCACTGTGTAGAGTATCCAGTAAGCACAGAATCGATTGCAATAGAAATATTGCATTTATAGATGGAGATTACTAGGAGTCAATGTCAGATTGACAAGGAAATCCAAACTAGGATTTCGTCTTGCATTGGTAACGGATGCAGAGGTTTTATAGTTCATCGGTTTACTGGTGTTAGTCTGAGTGTTATCTTGTTCATCTCATGGCTTGTTTTTTCTCTGTTTTCTCTTATAAACTGTCAGTTGGCTTTAAAAGGAAAGCGAAATATATTCCTGTTCATCCTGCTGATGGTAAGTTAGAGGTAGATTATTTTTTTTGGGTGGGGGCATAGTTAATACTCCTCTGTATTACTGCATTATTACTGCCCCAAACTTGTAAAGAATAAAGTAAGAGAAGGGTCAATGAATCTCTAATGTTCTGTCATCTCTTTCTGCTTGCTATTTACCTTTGGGTAAAGTGATGATCTTAGACATGGCCTTGAGCTGTTCTAATTAATGATTCTGGAATCGTTAGTGCTAGAAAAGGATTTTGTGATGTCAAATACAGCTGGATCAAACATGTTAACATGGCTGGAAAATAGTGGGTTTCTGGAGTATCCTCTCTAGAAAGAGAGGAAAGCCCCCTAGGAAGCGATGAACTTCAGTGGCACTCAAAGGATATGATTATTGCACTGCAATTGGCACACTTCAGTGCCAATGATTATGGCAGAGAAAACTGGCTCTAAGTTTCATGACAGTTTTTTTGTAAAGTGTGGAAACATCACCAGCGGTAAACAGTGTAGTAGAATGGCCTGTTGTCAGTGGCTATTTTGCATTATCTTCTTTTTGGGGATATATTTTACAGTGCTGGGTATCTGAATCTTTGTTGTTTCCTCCTCTTTAATAGAGTTAAAGAAGCAGCTTCAGGACTTCAGGAAGCTGCTGAGGAAGCGGTAAGGCTCCGTAATGAAGGCCATTGTTACACTTCCTAGATGTTTCTTGATGATAGGGCACAGCTTCATAGATCTTCAAGGCAACACTTCTTGTTTCCAAAGTTGTTGCGAAACTCAGTATGGAGAGACATAACAGAACAGTTTGCCACTGTCTGTGAGGCTGAGATAAACACAAGGTACCAACCTCATTTTGAGGTGTATGTTCCTTTGCACCACAAGGTTCTGACTTAAAAGATCTGTTTCTCTGCTTTCCTGTTTTTAGCTCACAAGTAACTTCCTAGCTAAGTGACAAGTCTCCATGTAATGATCTTTCTGGCTAATCAGGGACTGAGCCCTGGCTCCCAGGCCAACTGCACAGACTGCCATGTGCACATTGCTGAAATCCCTTCACTTCCCAGGTGGGAACCTCCAAAGATTGCCTAATGGGAATGATCTCTGGCCTGTGCAAAGTCCTGAATTGTGCTGAGCAATTACTTTGGAGAGTGCAAGTTGGCCGGGGCCAAACTGTGCCCACAACTCTGCTGATAATTTAACAATGTGGACAACTGCATTACAGTTGTTCCTTGTTCCCTGGCAGCATTTAATTTGTTGTATAGATGCAGAAAACCTGTTCTGGAAGAGTCCCAGTCTTTCTTGTCTACATCTACAGGGCCAAGTGAACTGCAGAAATGGTAGAGAGAGAGAGATGAAAGAGGATTAAGTATAGAAAAACAAGACATCTTGTTGTCTGTCAAAATGTCTCGATTTTTTTTCCCCTGGTTCTAAGGGCCCCAGCACCAAGACCAAAACTCTTGGACAAAGAAGCAGTCTGGCAACTGTTGCTGCATGCAGATAGGAAAGATTATGAGAAAATCTGTATGAAATATGGAATTGTTGACTTCCGTGGGATGCTGAGAAAGCTGCAGGAGATAAGGAAGGACACAGAGAGTGAACAAGGAGAGGTAAAATAAACTGAAACGACTGAAAGCATTGATTTTTAACAAACTGCAGAGTCCTACAGTTCCTCAGTAGCTTCTGAAAACAGGCTAAACCTTCCTAAATTGCTTTGTAGATGAAAATCTTATTGTATGACAGAGAAAGATTTATGACAATGTTTTAAAGAAATCCTAATTGTATACTCATGCAGATGAAAATGCTATTGACTTTTTTGAAGTTCACTTCATAAATTTTAGGAGATACTGACCTTGGGGTAATCCTTTTATTAAACCAGATGGCTAAATTCTGTATTCAGTTGCCTCTGATGAGAATTTGTACCCCAAATTGAAAAGTTATATGCCTGAGGGTCAAAATTGGCCTTCACATACAGGGGCATGTAGAAACCTGGATGGATAGTGGTTGCATAGTGTGTGAGTGACCAGGAGGTAGCACGTAAAATATAATTTGCCTACAGGAGGAAACTGTGGAAACTTACAGGTGCTTCTTCTATACAGATGAGTTAGAGGTAGCTCTTTTCTATGCAGATAAAAAGTAGATTTCACCTTAGTTCAACAGCATAAGAACTTCTGTCGTGGCAGCCTTATAATTTACTAGGTTCTTGTATCTTTCTTTGCAGTTAATACACAGTGTCAAAAACTTTCAACACATCAAAGTCAACAAGGAGGGAAAAGCTATGTTCAGTCTGGAGGTGGACCTGAAAAACAGTAACAGCAAAGTTTATCTGCTTAAGGTGAGGGGGTGAGTTGAGTTGGCTAGCTCATAGCAGCCACTGAAGTCTTCTACATAAAATGTTTGATCTGGTGGGCAGTGGCTGAGAGTAAATAAGCTTCTTAAAGTTGTCTGTCCATTGCAGAATCCTTGACTGGTTAGGGAGAAGTGTTGGTGTGGGGGTCCAGGTAGTGTTTGGTGGTGAATATCACTTGGGACTTGTAGATCCAAGTACGGGGGAAACAGTTAGTTACTGACATCCTTTTGACTTCAAGAGCTCTTCCTGTAAGAGGAAATTCTAACAGTGTCTTTCAGGCTGCAGAAATTCTGCAGTCTCTTATAAGAAAAACAGACTGATTTTATTTACTTTCTCAAGTGTGTAATTCCACTATAATTCACTTCTGTGAAAGAAGATCTCAAGGAAGTAAAACATTCCATCTAGTTCTGTAGTTACTCTGCTGTGATCCCCAGGTGATCAGTGCTGTGGATGTTTTTCTGGAAGCTGTGTTTCAGTCAAACTGTGGTTAGTGGCTTTAATACAGGGGAAATCGGAATTCATTAAAGAGGAGGTCAGGCTAACTCTATGAACTTCTGAATCAAATGCATGACATGACATCTATGCAGCCACCACGTGGAGACAGTAACCCAAGTGTGTTACAGATAGGAAAGTGGTGAACTCCCCTGCTTATCCATCTATAAGGATGCTAAAATCTAAGCAAAGAAAGTACTTTGTCTTTGAAGTTACAGTGACTGTGTATTAGTTAAGCTTCAAAAGCTTATGTGAGCTAGCAAAGTACTATTGTTTTGCCTAGTTTGAGAGTCTGATGCTCTGTTCTGTGCAGGACTTACTGCACGTAGTATTGCCTGTGTGTTACATAAGCAATGAGCCCTGTCCAGTGTAAGTACTAACAGAGCATAGACTTCTCTGTTGTTACTCATTTATATCAATAAAGCTATCGTAGCACAAATGTGGCCTAATTTGTTTGAAATGCCTTGCACTAATTGTGCGTTGCCTTTAAGAGTATATTCTTTCTCTTCCTTAGGATGGTAAGAGGCTCAGATATGGAATGGGGAGTGAATACAGAAAGTACTGCCTGAGGCGAATTGGAAAAAGGTATAATTTCATTGTCAACGACGTGCAGCCAGAAGATGCAGGCTTATATCAAGTCAGAGTGGAGGATGTACCTGTTTTCTCAACTGAACTGGATGCTGAATGTAAGGAATTGAGTTAGATGTATGTGATGTGCAACTGTAACAAGAAATTATTCTTTGCTGGAAAATTTTATCTAGGAGCATATGCAAAGCTCAGCAGTAAAACCTGATAACTATAGAAGGCTGTTTTTGTGTTTCCCAAATAAGGGCTCCTTATATGACACAGGTGAAAAAGAGCAGGAGGGTGATTATGGGATATGGGTGTTGCATTTGTAGTCCAAAGGACTAAGTTCAAGTACCAGTTTGGCTCTGAGTTCTGGATGACAACGAGCACATTCCTTGACTTACCCCATGCTATAGTTTCCTTTTGTAAGTTCAGAATAGTAGCTAGCAACTCAATACAAGTATCATGCTGCTGAAATACATTAATGACTACTAATTATCAGCACATCACAGTGATGTGTGGTATAAATGTCTCAGAAGATAATAAAGACAAAAATCTACTTTTCTGCTTTTCTGTCCTGTAGAATTGGGCACAGCAGCACATCTGTTTTTCCTTTTTCTGCTTAAACCAATGCTCACAGGCATGGCAAGTTCCTGTCTTTCTTTCGTCCTTCAGCTGCAACAAGTTTTTCTTGGAAGACAGAAATAGCTCTCTGTTTCCTTTCTATAGCTTTTGATTTTTCATTGCAGCCATCCCTGTGAGATTTGAGCAGCTACTCAGTGATGTGCATTGTCCTGAGGAAGAAGATGCTGTCTTTGAGTGTATCCTACGCACGCCCTGCTACGATGCTGTGTGGCTACACAAAACCCACCTCCTCGAGGCAAGTGAGAAGCACCAGATCTCCGTAACACCTGATGGTCTGACCCACCAGCTGATTATCAAAAACATTGTGCCCTCTGACAACGGCATGTACACACTCGACACTGGACTCTGCTCCTCAAATGCTTGGCTTATTGTAGAGTGTAAGTGACACTGTATTATTCCCATGGTGTTGGCTTGAGGTGTGTTAACAAAACAATATTCCTCTCACTGCCTGATTGCTCATTGGGATGATTCTGTGCTGAGAAATGAATTGCGAAGCCTCTAGTTCCTAAATTATATTTGGAAAAATGAAGGTCTGGTTAGACTCTCTTTCCTCTTCAGATGAGACAGATTTTTCCCTTTTTATTAGTCCTGACAAATCCTATTGGCTTATTTACTCTACAGCTACTATGAAGTAGCATGTTCTCCATCAGTTATCAAAAAACTCCATATCTCAACATGTGTTTTTGATGAAGCTGTCACTGAACACAGTAGAGCATACAGGGGATCAAGGAGCTTTCAAGGGCATCTTGTTAGATAGTATTTTCTTTCCAAATTAGAGTTAAACAAGTTAGAAGAAGCCCAGAGGAATCTGGGAAGCTGGGAAACACTCCTTTCAGTGCAAGCAGATTAATAATTAGCTGGCTTATATTTTTTTGCTTCTGAAAGTAGTTGCTTTCATTTCAAAACAGTGCGTGGCCTGCTAGCGCCACTGTTTATCTCAGAAAAGCCTGAATTTTTGATTAATACAAAGCTGTTCACAGAACTGGAATCTTTAGTCTTCAGGCTGGCCATCTCTAAAATGCCAGGATGCCAAATGTGCAAGCTGCCTCAGTAGCAGCGAGATCCTAATTCAAGGGTGGGAACTGATGGCCACTCTGTGCGTGGGATATTCTGTAACTCCTCCAAGGCTGGAGGGAGAAGGCAGAAGGAACTAGTGAGTCCCAAATACAATCTAAGCCCCTCTAAATTAGACCTATCATGCTGGAAATTTGCCTTGTTTTTCTGCTTTTTTTTTGTTTGTTTTGTTTGTTTTTTTAATAAGCATGTTTCCACTAAAAAGAATTGTATTTTTAACTAAGAAATGTAAAATTATGTCTGAATGTGACACTGAAAAAATTCAGGATTTCAACTGAATTTAAATTTATTTAAATATATTATGTTTCTGTGTCCTAGAATGAAAATATAACAAATACTAACACATTTTCTTTGGTTGTTGATGCAGTACATGACCTATTGATTGTCTATCTTTTTTTCCCCTCTCTCTTTTCCTATAAATTATATCTCCTCCAATCAAACAATGCATCTTCAATACAGATGCCAAAGGAAAGAGGAGACAGGGTGAAGGAGGTGAAAGAGAGAAATCTGAGTGGCTGAAAGAAACATTGCCAGATGAAGACAGGGCTAAGAAACTTCGACGCAGAGAATATGTTGGTGATGAAGATCATCTTATGGACACTGGTGTGGAAGAAGATGGCTGGTACAGAAATGGTCAAGGTGGCAGTCAAGGCCACTCCACTGATGTTGATGGAAGCCATAGATTTTTAGGAAAACACAGGCTACGTGGAGCGGACAGAAACGGAAGGACAGGGTTTGGGCAGTTTTCTGGAGCAGACCTAGATGGAGACTCAATGACATATGATGGTATTAGCTTTGGATTAAAAGGCTTAGGAGGCAAAGGTGGATTAAGGCCTTTCCGTGGCAAGGATTCTATGACAGGGAGAGCAGATACTGGTGATGAATTAGGAGGAGAAGGTGAATGGTATTCTGTGGATGGCAGAGATGATGGTATGCTGGATGCTGTTAAAATTGACATGGATGATGGAGAAGGTGTGGGCTCTCAGCATGACAAGGATGGTAAATTAGGTGATACTAGTTACAGAGCTGGCTTTGGGGCTGTTGGGAGATTAGGTGCTAGTGATGGAAGTTCTGTGTTAGATGGACTCAATCCTGACTCAACTGGAGTGGGAGGTGGTAAGGGTGATCTGCTCAGTAGGACTAGCCCAGGGACTGGAGCTAGAAAGAATGCTGCAGGTACAGAGATTGCAGGAGGAATGAGGTCCCCCTATGGCAAGGATGGTCTGCCGACCGTAGTTGATATGAATGGAGCAAGTATAAGCAGAGAGGGACAAAAAGGGACTCCCTATGGCAAGGATGGCCTGACACTTCATGCTAGCGGTCATTTAGGTCAGGCAGGAAGGTCTGGCTTGCAGTGTGGCCCAGGTGGTCTTCCAGCTGGAGATGGGGCTATATCTGGTGCAGGTGACAGTTCTATAGGGGAAATGGAGGCTTTATATGATCCAGATGGTCGGCCAGTTGGAGCAGGTGTTGGTGATGCTGGTGTAGCTGGTGCAGGGGGAGTTGGGTTTCCCTATGGAAAGGATGGTCTCACAGCTGCAGCAGGTGTTGTGGGCGTAGGGGGAGTTGGGTCTCTGTTTGAAAAGGATGGTCTCCCAGCTGGGGCTGGCATCAGTGGTGCTGGTGTAGCTGGTGCAGGGGGAGTTGGGTTTCCCTATGGAAAGGATGGTCTCACAGCTGCAGCAGGTGTTGTGGGCGTAGGGGGAGTTGGGTCTCTGTTTGAAAAGGATGGTCTCCCAGCTGGGGCTGGCATCAGTGGTGCTGGTGTAGCTGGTGCAGGGGGAGTTGGGTCTCCGTATGGAAAGGATGGCCTCCCAGCTGGATCTGGTCTTGGTGGTGCTGGTGCAGGGGGAGTTGGGTCTCCCTATGGAAAGGATGGTCTCCCAGCTGGAGTAGGTGTTGGTGGCGCTCATGTAGCTAGTGCAGGGGGAGTTGGGGTTCCGTATGGAAAGGATGGTCTCCCAGCTGGAGTAGGTGTTGGTGGCGCTCATGTAGCTGGTGCAGGGGGAGTTGGATCTCCCTATGGAAAGGATGGTCTTCCAGCTGGAGCAGGCTTTGGTGCTGGTGTGGCTGGTGCAAGGGAAGTTGGGTCTCCGTACGGAAAGGATGGCCTCCCAGCTGGATCTGGTCTTGGTGGTGCTGGTGTGGCTGATGCAGGGGGGGTTGGGTCTCCGTATGGAAAGGATGGCCTCCCAGCTGGATCTGGTCTTGGTGGTGCTGGTGCAGGGGGAGTTGGATCTTCCTATGGAAAGGATGGTCTCCCAGCTGGAGTAGGTGTTGGTGGCGCTCATGTAGCTGGTGCAGGGGGAGTTGGGACTCCCTATGGAAAGGATGGTCTTCCAGCTGGAGCAGGCATTGGTGGTGCTGGTGCAGGGGGAGTTGGATCTCCCTATGGAAAGGATGGTCTCACAGCTGCAGCAGGTGTTGTGGGCGTAGGGGGAGTTGGGTCTCTGTTTGAAAAGGATGGTCTCCCAGCTGGAGTAGGTGTTGGTGGCGCTCATGTAGCTGGTGCAGGGGGAGTTGGGTTTCCCTATGGAAAGGATGGTCTTCCAGCTGGAGCAGGCTTTGGTGCTGGTGTGGCTGGTGCAAGGGAAGTTGGGTCTCCGTACGGAAAGGATGGCCTCCCAGCTGGATCTGGTCTTAGTGGTGCTGGTGTGGCTGATGCAGGGGGGGGTGGGTCTCCGTATGGAAAGGATGGCCTCCCTGCTGGAACAGGCATGGGTGGGGCTGGTGTAGCTGGTGCAGGGGGAGTTGGGACTCCCTATGGAAAGGATGGTCTTCCAGCTGGAGCAGGCATTGGTGGTGCTGGTGCAGGGGGAGTTGGGACTCCCTATGGAAAGGATGGTCTTCCAGCTGGAGCAGGCTTTGGTGCTGGTGTGGCTGGTGCAAGGGAAGTTGGGTCTCCGTACGGAAAGGATGGCCTCCCAGCTGGATCTGGTCTTAGTGGTGCTGGTGTGGCTGATGCAGGGGGGGTTGGGTCTCCGTATGGAAAGGATGGCCTCCCAGCTGGATCTGGTCTTGGTGGTGCTGGTGTGGCTGGTGCAGGGGGAGTTGGGTTTCCCTATGGAAAGGATGGTCTCACAGCTGGAGCAGGCATTGGTGGTGCTGGTGCAGGGGGAGTTGGGGTTCCGTATGGAAAGGATGGTCTCCCAGCTGGAGTAGGTGTTGGTGGCGCTCATGTAGCTGGTGCAGGGGGAGTTGGGTTTCCCTATGGAAAGGATGGTCTTCCAGCTGGAGCAGGCTTTGGTGCTGGTGTGGCTGGTGCAAGGGAAGTTGGGTCTCCGTACGGAAAGGATGGCCTCCCAGCTGGATCTGGTCTTGGTGGTGCTGGTGTGGCTGATGCAGGGGGAGGTGGGTCTCCGTATGGAAAGGATGGCCTCCCAGCTGGATCTGGTCTTGGTGGTGCTGGTGTGGCTGATGCAGGGGGAGTTGGGGCTCCGTATGGAAAGGATGGCCTCCCAGCTGGATCTGGTCTTAGTGGTGCTGGTGTGGCTGGTGCAGGGGGAGTTGGGTTTCCCTATGGAAAGGATGGTCTTCCAGCTGGAGCAGGCTTTGGTGCTGGTGTGGCTGGTGCAGGGGGAGTTGGGACTCCCTATGGAAAGGATGGTCTTCCAGCTGGAGCAGGCTTTGGTGCTGGTGTGGCTGGTGCAAGGGAAGTTGGGTCTCCGTACGGAAAGGATGGCCTCCCAGCTGGATCTGGTCTTGGTGGTGCTGGTGCAGGGGGAGTTGGGTTTCCCTATGGAAAGGATGGTCTTCCAGCTGGAGCAGGCTTTGGTGCTGGTGTGGCTGGTGCAAGGGAAGTTGGGTCTCCGTACGGAAAGGATGGCCTCCCAGCTGGATCTGGTCTTGGTGGTGCTGGTGCAGGGGGAGTTGGATCTCCCTATGGAAAGGATGGTCTCACAGCTGGAGCAGGCATTGGTGGTGCTGGTGCAGGGGGAGTTGGGTTTCCCTATGGAAAGGATGGTCTTCCAGCTGGAGCAGGCTTTGGTGCTGGTGTGGCTGGTGCAAGGGAAGTTGGGTCTCCGTACGGAAAGGATGGCCTCCCAGCTGGATCTGGTCTTAGTGGTGCTGGTGTGGCTGATGCAGGGGGAGTTGGGGCTCCGTATGGAAAGGATGGCCTCCCAGCTGGATCTGGTCTTGGTGGTGCTGGTGCAGGGGGAGTTGGGTTTCCCTATGGAAAGGATGGTCTTCCAGCTGGAGCAGGCTTTGGTGCTGGTGTGGCTGGTGCAAGGGAAGTTGGGTCTCCGTACGGAAAGGATGGCCTCCCAGCTGGATCTGGTCTTAGTGGTGCTGGTGTGGCTGATGCAGGGGGAGTTGGGTCTCCGTATGGAA